ACATCAAAACATTTTAAAGGTACAGTTTTGGGATGGAGGATGCAAGTGATTTTCACCGTCATCAGAAACCACCCTGTAGGATCTAAAACTTATCACTTGAGCATGTGAGCTAGTTGTTCAAGTCCCAAAAAGTATGGTGGAGACTCTGATGTTAAATGGAAAACATCAAAACATTCTGAAGGTACCCACCCTGTAGGATCAGAGGGCTTAATTAACTATTAACACACAAACATGGTGAGAGAACTCAAACGAACATTGGAACTAGGCAAATTCAAAAAATTCACTGTTTCATAAACCTTTTATTGCAAATAAAATTCTGATGCCTCGGTAGAAGACAGCAATTTTGATCCCTTACTCTTAATTTCACCATTTAAGCCATAAAAGCAAATGGTAATAGACACAGTTTCAACATCACGGACTGTAAAATCTATAAAACATATCCCACAGAGAAAGGATGTATCAACAAGGTTGGCCCTGGCTATATCCTTAAAATACAGAAACAATTTACAATGAAAAATAAGTATGCTTCAAGCAATACTCTAGTTCCCAAACTATAAAATGTATTGTTGCCCTTTTCCCATATTATATGGGACAAACCAACCACTTGTGAACTATAAAATGTATTGTTGCCCTTTTCCCATATTATATGAAAAACAACGACGCTGTTACAGTCTAACTGCTTGTGAACTTTGTTACAGCTTTGGTACCCTCAGAAACTAAAGAAACTATATATGATACCAAACATATATGATACCTCATATCAATACAAAGCAAGGATAGAAACTAAATTATCTTCAAATTCAAATCCCTAATTTTAAAATTTACAACACAAAGCAATAATCTGAGAAAAGAAAGATTACCGGATATCAATAAAGAGAAGGGTGACGGTGGTGAACTGATGACGGCGGCTGAGATCGACGGAGAAGGATGACGGTGGTGAGCTGATGACGGCGGCTGAGATCGACGGAGAAGGATGACGATGGTGAGCTGTCTTAGGGTTCCTCTTTTTATTCCAGTGAAGTGAGTCGATGAAGAAGATGGTTGTGAATCGATGAAGAAGTGGTGAATCGATGAAGAAGCGGTGAAGATGTGCTTTTTTGCGTGGATAGAATGATTTTTGCGCCAAAACGAAAAAACATTTGGGCCAGGATATGTTTTCATATTTTAATTAATTTAATTTAGTAGAATATTTTAATAGCGCTTTTTATAAAAGCGCTATCTTAAAACACAATGATAGAAACGATATCGGTTTCTTAGAAAGCGCTATTGTAGTTACATATTTTAATAGCGATTTTTAAAAAACGCTATCGTAGTGTTTTTAATAATAGCGCTTTTATAAAAGTGCTATTGTAATACAACATTTTAATAGCGCTTTTTAGAAAAGCGCTATCTTAGTGAATATCTATAATAGCGCTTTTTTACAAAGTGCTATCAAAATCATATTTTCTGTACTCTTTAATAGCGCTTTACTATAAAACGCTATTATAAATATGTTTGTTTCCTTTTTAATAGCGCTTATTTTAAAAGCGCTATTAAAGTAGGCGATACAAAAAAGCAATTTTGGCGTAGTGTGATTATGGAACTTTCATTTTACATGATTATGAAACTCATGTTTTTTCAATATTATAAAGTTTATTTGATATTAAGTTTTGGAATTAATTTTACTACGCTAAAAAGCAATAGAAAAAAATAAAAAAAAATAAAAATAAAAATATTATTGTATAAATAATTTAAAGAAAAATTAATATAACTATTTTATTAGATAATAATTTAAATAAAACAATATATTATAAAACAATATAATACAATACATCAAAATTAATAATGAACCGTCAAGATATCACATTCACGACAGTTTTACACCGTCACAATCAACAATGGTAACAAAAATCAAAAGGATATTCACGACAGTATTTAACTGTTGTCATTTCCAATTTATGTCAGTTCCAACCAGTCGTGAAATAGAGTTCACGACAGTTTTAAACCGTCACAATCAACAATGAAAATAAAAATGAAAAGGCTAGTAACGACGGTCTTTAACCGTCGCTACCTCCAATTTAGGTCAGTTCAAGCCCGTTGTGAAATATAACGACGGTTGTGTGTGACGGTTTTTTCAACCGTCGCTAAACAGCCTAGGGACACACGTTTCTGCGACGGTACTACAACCGTCGTAGAATGTAATTGGTGGTGGTTTTAACCGTCGTAACCTGCCAAAATAATCGTCACAATCCATCGTTTTTCTTGTAGTGTTAGGGTTTGCGATAGGGTGATGGAATAGGCGAAAAGGTTTCTCTCCTCTTCCGAGATTCCTATTGAAGGGATAAACCACCTCCAAGCTGCTCCCGAGGGTGCACGAGATGGTAGTCCTGGTAACTCGGCTCCAGAGGCTACATCTTGATCTCTTTTTCTAATTTTTCTATTTTTCTTTGTACTATATTTGTCCTTGTAACATTTCCATGCCATTCTGCCTTAGATATAACAATTGACATTTATAAAAGTATGTTTACCTTAGACATTTGAGCATTATTTAGCTTTGAGATATGTACTTGTCTATATTTTGTTGTTTTTTCTCTATTGCATATTTAGTTGCTAGTAACTTGTTGTAACGCCAATATTCACTTGGTATCCCTGCAATGAAAGATTTATGGACCACCGGATTTTCCATTGTTCACCAGTAAGTTGCAAGTTTGCGCCTTTGCATCTACGAAGGCTTTTCTGCTTAGGGTGTGAGAACCCTGATTGCTTTCCTTTATGATGGAAATAGGTGTCTCTTTGTTTGCTACATTCGTCTATTGTATTTAATGTTCATTGAAGTAACGCCTCTATTAATGCATTGTATTGAGCGTGTTGCTGGTGTTTTCCTCGACGGGGCTATGATAGGTAAGGCCAATGAGATTCATTTTTCTTTTTGTACCACACTTACTACTACAAAAAGCGATTTTTACCTCGGACTTGAAATGAATAATATCTTGGATATAGAAGCGAGGTAACAAAGGTCGACATGAAAACTCGCCACTTATCACCTTAGTGGTATTAAAACCGAGAGGTAAAGTTAAATGCACATGAGTTTGAACCCCAACAATAACACTTTTATTATTTTTAGAACTAGAATATCTTTCATCTCGGTTAATCTTGAAAATCGAGGGGTAAGATTATTATTTGTTTTTTAATTTTTACATTGTTTACCCAGAATATTATATTTTTTACCCATGAATTATATTGTTTACGCAGAATATTAAAATAAAAATCAAATTTCCTATGGATCTAGATAAAAATCAAATTCCCTGAAGATCTAGGTTTTATATCTTTGAATTATTGAATCTTGCATGCATTTGATTCTGAAGCAAAACAAAGTAAGGGTTACATAAATAAAATAAATATTCAAATATATAATTTTGTGCTCAAATAAATATTTAAGAAAACAAACCTTAAAGCCAAGTAATTTTCTGCTCTTGCAATCCATCTTAGAGAACTTTTTCAAATGTCTTTATGTTTCAAGCACTTCATATTTTATTTAGGTTAGATCTTCAATATTCAGCATGCTTTTATAATGAACGCCCTTTAGGTTTCACGTGAATCACAAATGGAAAATTCACGAGTGTTGAAAAACATTAAATGGACAACAAATATTAGTTTATGGGAGTTGAATATAGTAAAAAAAACGTTTAATTATCCACTCGACCACAAACAAAACAAATATGAATAAGCTATTTTTTTTAAATAGACTATTTACACATAATATTTAAAATACATTGCAAAATCTATTTCCCAATGAGATATTTTATTTCACATGTCCAGGTCCCATACAAGATGCTAGAGATTTGTTTCGCAATACAAATTTTTATTTTCTGCACTTGCAATCCATCCCAGAGATCCGTAGTAACAACTCATGATAGAAATGGACGATCACTACTAGAAAACTTCATTTTAGCTGTGAATTTAGCCTCGGCCACCGACACCGAGGCTAAATAGCCTCGACAAAACCGAGGCTACTTAAACGCAAAAAAGCCATTCTACAGTTTTTCTTTTACCATTATTTTTATTTAGTTATTTAGACACGACTTGGCCGAGGCTAAGTTTGTTTTAAAGTATTAGACACAGTCTGACCGAGGTTATTTAAACGAAATAAACTCCATTTAAGAGTTTTTCTATTTTTTAAGTATTAGACACGGGCCAGCCGAGGCTAATATTTTAAATATTTTTCAAATATTTATTTAATTTATCTGGTAGACACGGATTAGCCGAGGCTAAAGTTTTTAATATTTTTCGAATATATATTTAATTTATCTGGTAGACACGGATCAGCCGAGGCTAACATGTTTTATTTTTTTATTTTATCTAGTAGACACGGATGAGCCGAGGCTAAGTATTTCCCACTTTGTTTTTCATGTTTCCCTCTTAATTCCTTTCATAGAAGACGAATCCTAAAATTGAAGAGATACATTTTCAGAAGAAAAAACCCCCCAAAATCAATGTAGTGAGTTTTATCTCTTCGTTTTCATCTTCAACATCATTGATTCTTATGAGTGGGTTTATTGGTCTCTGATTCTTATGAGTGGGTTTATTGGTCTCTGATTCTTCTTCTGCTTTTTTTTAACCTTAAACTATATTCTCTGATTCTTCTTCTGCTTTTTTTCAATGTAGTGAGTTTTAGTCAAGCTGCAAGTGCTTCCAAGAAGATAAAGCTGTTGAAGTAAGTTTAGAAGGTAAGGCTGCAAGTGCTTCCAAGAAGATAAAGTTGTTGAAGTGCTTCCAAGAAGATAAAGCTGTTGAAGTAAGTTTAGAAGATCAAGCAGAGAAAAGGTTAGATTCTTGTCTGTGTTGCTGTTAGGTTTAATGGTTGCTGCTGTCTAGATTACGGATAGAATAGAAACCAGATTGAATGACCATGTTTTTCTCTTTATTTCATACTTTATTTGTTCTTATATTTGTTTATTATTATAATGATTCCTTTTGTTGGTTTTGTCTCTATAGTTAAAAAAAATCTGATTGACTGATAAATGATAATAGATGCAGAAGATAGAGATAACAAATTTCTAACAAAAGCTGTTGAAGAAGTATATAAAGGTGTTAAATGTGGTGATGGACGCCCATTTGGTGTAGTCATTGTTCAAAATGATGAACTTGTTGTTAGCTGTCATAACATGGTTTTAAGAAACAAAGATCCTACTGCTCATGTTGAGGTTATCGCTATAAGAGAGGTCAAATTAATTTTCATCTTATTTTTGTTCTGTTTGTGTGTTTGTGTCTGTGTCGGTGTCTGTGTTGTGTCTGGTGTTAGGGCTTCATAGAATCTATATAATTGAAAGATATTATCTGCAGGCTTATCAAAAGCTGGATCAAATTTCCCTTGCTGACTGTGAGATCTATGCGTCTTGTGAGCCGTGTCCAATGTGCTTTGCTGCCATTCATTTTTCAAAAATTAAGGCAGGCCTTTTCAACCCCTTTCATTTTCTCTTCACATTACACGTTTCTCTAACCTCTTTTAAATTGATCTCTAATTTGTTCATTCTCATCCAGCAGAGATTGGTTTACGGAGCCAAAGCAGAAGCTGCGGTAGCTATCAGATTTGATAGTTTTATTGCGGATGCACAGAAGGATACTAGTTCTCCTCAGAAGCCTCAGTTGGAGATCAAGAAGATAGATGGTACTGCTGATGTAATTGTGGAACAAGTATTTGAGAAGACAAATGGCAAGTATGCTCTCTACTGATTGCAATAAAGAGGCATTTGCTATTACTATTTCTATGGCATTATAAAATAATCATTGATATGTTTCTGATTCATGTAATATATAACCCAATGAAGAAGTTGAGATCTTGCTTCTTTGCCATGTAGCACGCTTAGATCAGTTTCGTAAACAAACATTACTCATTGTGAACATTGCAACTACATCTGCATCTCAAGCTAATCTTAGTCAAATACATGAGCACAATTATAAACCTAATGTGCCACCTTATGGTGGCCAATACTGACCCTAAAAACCCAGTCTGCCGATATCCTGACTCTGGTGCTTCTCACAATGTATGGGTAAATCACATAGACTACCGTTACATTCATCCACACAAACATATTCTAGTCCTCTAGAAATTGTTTACAGTAATTCATGGAGACCTACATCTTTTATTTCAAGCACTGGTTTTTCTTATTATATTTCATTTGTTGATGCCTTTACCAAATTCACTTTGTTATACCTTCTAAATAAAAGTACAAAATTAATATTTGCTGCTATCCTTACAGATGTAGTAGTCCTCATCACTTCATAGGCGGTGATATTTACCTTCCAAGTATTTGAACTCATGCATAATATTGGAAAAATAGTGTTTTCTATATTTTACATTAAAAACATTGTGTTATTTGAGCATAAGAATTCTTTTTTTAGTAAACCCTGGTGTTGTGTTCTCTTCTATATTGTCCATGATGGTAAAATAGCACAATAATACTAAGGAAATTGTGTAAGGCATACTGTATAATTGCACAGAAACTCTTCTTGGCTTCTTATACAGGTTGTTGTCTTAAAAAATATTATGTTGTATAGGACTTTAATTGGCAACTTTGTTGATGCAGGCAATGGTGCAACTTGTTATTCAGAGATATACGAGGGAAGCTGGTGTTCAAAGTTTGGAAAGGAATCTAGCTGCCCTTGCTCGTGCTGCTGCAGTGAGAGTAGCAGAGCAAGAAGTAGTTCCACTTAGCAAAGGAGTAGAGGGACTTATGACAACACTTCTGGAAAACAGACTTGTCGATAGCGCTGAAGTGGAAATGGAAGTGATACCAATGGGAAGGGTGAATTGCATCTTACTGGACAACTTGGTGATGTGATCAAAGAATCAGCTCAAATTGCACTAACATGGGTAACCAACTACATCTAAATAAGTTTCAACCAGCTTCTATTTCTTTTATGCTCACTAGAATGATATGTTTCATCTTATACCTGTCCAAAAAATTTGTTTCATGTTACATGTATTAGGCTAATAACCATGTATATGTGCATGGACAACCGTACACATGTAAGTGTGCAGTTGCAGATGTGAACTTGATAATCTCAAACATGTGTTGATGAATAATTTATCTAAGAATTCCATATGCTAATATTGAAAAATTGTTAATTCTATTATTTTTGTGATGACTAAAATCACTGGTATCTGTGATTCTCAGGATGAAATGAAGCAACTAGCAAAAACTGAAAGACTAGCAGTTAATGTGTCGAATGCAGTTAACGAAATGAAGCTTGCATTGGGGAGACTCTTGAGCAGCGGGAAGCTGGTACTACTATTGCTGTTGAGTTTCAAGACAACGGCAGAAACATCTCAATTCATTTCGTTTCTCATAAACTCAGTTGTGGTCCTCATTATTTAATAACACAGACAAATCTTCGGTCTCTGCGGCAGCTCGTTTTGAAGCCATTAACTTGGAATGTATAGCAGCAATGTTAAGCCACAACAGAGGCTTTCAGCTCATAACAACTTAGGACAACTGCAGTCGACAACCAACTCGATGCAGACTGCAAATGTATGCTGTTGTGTGAAGGTTCTCTATCAGATGATGAAACGTATGCTGTTGGAGGTTCCAGTGAAACATATGCTGGGTTGGAGGTTCTAGTGAAACGTATGCTGTTGTGTGAAGGTTCTCTATCAGATGATGAAAAGCAGACCAAGGTCGGATATCTATATAAACCTCCCGGTACTGCAGAAGCTGGAAATATTGGAATCTTTTAAGGATACTGAGTTCTGGTATGCAGAGAATATATCAGCAACTTCACCTCGTTTGCGCGCAACCTCTTTTCGAAAGATTGCTCCAAGGAAAGACGAGAAATGGTGGTTGCCAGTTCCTTGTGTTCTCCCTGGTGGCCTCTCGGAGAAGTCAAGGAAGCATCTAACTGAGAAATGGGACTGTGCTAATCGAATTCATAAAGCCGCAATGGCAATAAATAGCAACATTCTCACAGAAATAGATATTCCAGAAACATATATAGACGATCTTCCAAAGGTTAGTTAGTCCTCATTGTGAAAACTATATTATTGTCCTATTTCTACTAGGTTTTGTTAAATAGAAGGTCTAACGGTGCTATTGCGTGGCAGAGTTTGAACAATTTGCTATTGTTCTATGATACACTAATTAGTACAAAATGTTGTTAATTGGTGGCTATACCGCGTTATAACACTGTTGTGTAGCAACATATGAACAGGCGGCTTTTCCGTTTTCTGCAATTGGCCAAACTGTCTCTTCTATAGCTGTCTGGGAATTTATCTTTTCTTTTCTGTTTTGCCAATCAAATTGTGTTGCCTTTTTTAAATAAACAAGCTTACATGCTTTTTCTCTATTTCTTTTTTCAGGAATGCCCAACTGTCATCAGTTTAGGTATGCCTTTAGCTACGGAGACTGGAAAAATTAGAGTAGTTTAATTTGATATGATTGTTCCAGGATAATTGTTCTCTAACTTCCAAATGATATATTTATTCATATTGGTTACAAGGTTATATTACTTATCCTTTTACTTATCCTTCCATTTCATTGCCTCCAACAATCCATACAATTTTAGAACAATTTCCAGATACCGCTGGTACCATTATTTCCATTCATGTTGATTCTGATGTGATGTCTTTGGATGGAAGACAGTGTTTGGAAACAGAAGCTGAAGTTAAAGAAGATGGGAAGCTTCATGTTACAGTAAGAAAATCAAACGCTTCAAGATCAGATATATATTCAAGAAGATCTCATAATTCTCATTCTCATGCAAATACCACACCCTGTGCTTCAAATCTGACAAATGCAGAGATATACTCTTTGCAATCTTCTTGGAATCCAACTCCAAGAGGGTCAAGTTTCAACCACACAGATTTTTATTCAATGATGGGTCGTAATTCGAACTTCGGTGCTTCGGATTTGAAGGGAACAACGCCGAGAAGTTCTAACTATGACCTTCCAACAACAGGGAATTATCCTGCACCAAATCCTGGAATGTTCTCTCCCAAGAATGTTGCTGCTAAGAAGGCTAATAATAATAATAACAGTAATAGTAATGGTCAAGTTGCTGTGAAAACAAATCATCTTCATATGTTTGTTTGGAGCTCAAGTGGTTCACCGATTTCTGATGTGTTCGATTCTCATCTTGAATATGGAGGTACAACAACTGGAACTGGTAATGCCGTTCAAGTTCATCAAGATCAGAAACAAGTCAAGCTGAATCTCTCTCCCAAAAAAGGTTTTTGATTTTTGTTCTTCCATTAGTTTGATGACAATAATTTCAAATAAATAAGATGTCAAGGGTTCGAATCTGCGACTATGCATTCAGGCTTATCAGATAATGGTTTGGAGAAAAGGCTAATATTGATAATGCTTTGGAGAAAACTTATCAGAAATCCAAACACATATTCCAACATTATGGGCTTAACTTGATCACTAGTTTCATTCAGGTACTACTATACTAATTTTCCACCATTTATTTACAACAATTTTTATGAGTTAATTAATTGATAAGAACAATAGTAATAATGTTTGGTGTTTTGTTTTCCATTGCAATATTGCAGGTGGAATATTGAAATGCCTCTTATCATAGGAAAGTCTATTTCTATATTATTAGATGCAGGACTTGGCATGGCCATGTTCAGTCTTGGTTAGTATACACATGTAGATCAGTGCCAAGTGAATGAAGATGGAATTCTCTTGTTATGATGTAGTGTTTATCTCATATATTTCAATCAATGTTTTAGGTTCTAGTGTTGCACGTATGCTATTATCATATTTAATAACTTTCAAACATGTTTTGCAGCTTCCCCGACCCCTCCCAAAAAACTGGATTTTTAGTGGAACTTGATAATCTTTGGATTTTTATAATCTCATTTAAGATATCTAGAGCAGAATTTTTTGTTTCCTTCTGACTAAATTTTGTGTTAATGTTTCTCCAACAGAAAAGCCTTTAATTTGTTACAATGTGACTCTAGCACTCTCGGTTTTACCTAATTGCTAAGACTGTACACCACTAATTCAGCTCTAATTTTTAGTGTGAAGAAGTTTTCCGACTGGCATTGAAGAGACGCTACCGCCTTATCCCCTTTATCTATACACTTTTATTTTGCACATACAAGGGGCACTCCAGTGGCAACCCCTACCTTCTTTGCTGGTGAGTTCTTGTTCTGTTGATTACTTCTAGTGTCTTTGGTTTCATGAATGATATTTGAACTTTCTTCTTATGCATCATGAATCTTTCTTTATTCTTTTGCAGATCCAAAAGATCCTAGCTTGAGGAAACTTGAAAATTCATTTTTGCTTGGTCCAATTTTAGTATATGCAAGGTTATTCTACTTTCTAACGCTTACTGCTATCTTATGAGAGATGTCTTTGCACAAATTAGGCTTGCTTTTCCTTATACTATTATGCATTTTAATGGGAGAAAATGATATAGCTTTTAGTCATTGAGAAAGGGGGAATGATAGGAAAAGAAAATTACAATTCATCAGTTCTAGCTGTAAAATAAGAGTCATTTTTGTCAGTGAATCATCTGTTAGACCATACAATGTCCAGCCTTCCTTTTCATTTATAAGCAATATCAACAATGATGAAGGTGCTGCACCTGGTGGTGGTGGGGGTGGCCACTGGAAAATGATTAGTGTTACCGCTACTGATATGGCTACTACTGCTATAGGTACAAGTGGTAGTGTTCTTGGTGGTAGTGTTCTTGCTAGTGTAAGTTCTAGGGAAATTGTTCCAAAA